CCCCAAAACCCCAAAACCCCAAAACCCCAAAACCCCAGGATAAAAGATTTTAGTTGAAAAGATTTAAACATGTCTTAGTCAAGATTCCCAAATCTTCCTATCTGTTTCTGGCCGTATTTGGAGATTTCCTTCTTCATTGAGTTGATAAGCATTGTCCCAAGATCTCTCTTCCGACGCTTCATGACTTCTTTTAAGTCATTTGTAGTACTTTTTAAAGGAGATTTCTGTAAGAAGTGGCTATAAAATTTATAATTTTACCTACTCATAAGACACATATCTCTTTGATTCATTTAGAGAAGCTGGCCTTGTCAGTAAAGAGCTGAAGAGCTTCGAGTTTCGTAGTTTGTGTCTCTTCGCAGTTAAAAATATCTTCTTAGTTTTCCTTCCCAAATTAGGTAATTTGTTCGCTAAATCAAAGTTAGTACTTGAGAATATGAAGAGATAAGGTTATTATCTGTCAATAAGATAATTACGGCTTACATTGGGGCTGAGCAAATGATTTGAAATCCCTAGTCCTTTCAGAATTATTTAGGCTCAGAGAGTGGAAAAAGTCTACTGAATTCCTAATTCGAGACTTTTTTGTTTCTCAGCATCTTCTTGCTTGAAAGCTTCTTTATCTTCTTATAAATCTGAACACCTCCATCATTTGTGAGGATATCGCCTTCTTTAATCCAAGCTCTTGTAAGGATTTTCTTGATCTTCTTCTCTTCAGGATCCTTAGCACTAAATGTCAGCTTGTCTTCGAGAGTATTGCTAGAATTCAAGTTTATAATTCTCTTCATCATCTACAAAATATGAAAATTTAATTGAGATATGGGACCTTACTTTATTTTTCAGCCCTAAAACCTTTTCTGCCTGTCAGGATTGAGTTAGACCTCACGGAGTTGTTTGATTCTCTTTGGGACTCACTAGAGGGATGTCAACAACAGATAGTGTTATTGGAAGAAGAAATTTAAATAATTTTATAAGGGAGCTCTACTTTTTAGGAATATTAGCTTCTATCGCATCTTGCAGTTCCTTTATTTTCTTAGTTTTCAGTATGATTCTATATTTTCCTGACTCATTTTTAAGCTCTTCTTGCTTAATTTCTTCTGACTAGATTTGTTTCATAAGAGGGTATTTTAACCAAACATATGAGATAGTCTGTTAAGCCTTACCTTATTCAAAGAGGTATACTTATCAAATATTTGGTATGCCAGAGTAAGTAGCTGATGGCATAAAGCTCTCTTGCAGATTAAGTAATTCAGATACTTTATTTTGCCTATAGGCTTATTTCAGTTTCTTACTCTGAATAAACTTCTTTAAAATTATTTTATTTTACAGGATTATATCTGTTATTACGGGCTATGATATGTTATTCCATATAAGTGCATAGATCATACCTGAGACTGTGGTAGAGCTGTGACTAAAAGGAGGTTAAATAAAGAAAGTAAACCAAGGCTTACTTTAAGTTGAGAGTCTTTTCAACGACGTATTTAAAAGACTTTTTAGTCCTGATTCTTCTCTTGGAACTTTGTCTACTAAGCAGTACCTTGTTACGATCACCTAAAGATGATAAGAATAAGGTAATACAAGGGAAATAGCTGTTGAATGTCTTTCCCACAGAGACATTACCTTCTAAAGTACTAGTGCCAGTGCTTTCCCTCTTAAGAGTATTACATGAGACCAGATTTTTAGGGGCAGATTCTGGTGATTCTAATCTCTCAGCAACTATAGGATTCATAGTGGACATTTTCCTATGGGAAATTTTTTTCATGATCTGCCTTAAAGTTTTTCCTTCATTCCTTGCTAGCTTATTTATCAAGATATTTCACGGGGAGCATCTTAAATTTGTCCTCTTCTTTGAGCTTGCAATTTTCAAAATCTATCACCACATTGCGTCTTTGTTGATTAGTTGGTCTTTTAGAATAGAAAATATTATTATTTCCAGTGATGACCAAATTGTGATAAAATATATCGCTACTTCTGAAGGAAACAACTAGAGGCAATAACTTACCTTGTCTTGAGAGATGAATTACGAAGGTATCCCGTCACAGATACTTCCAATTTTTTCTTGATGTTAAAAGAAGTAGAAAGAGTTTTCTCATGATGAATTCTGATGAGATAAGCTCACGACTTTCTTCTATGTTCATTGTTAACTTTCCTGCTAAACACCCTTCAACTAAAGAGGGTTTCCACTTACCGAGAATTGGTTCTAGAGCATCATTTAGATAATCGCTCATTTTTAATTCTAATTATTCTGAAAGTGATTATTGGGGTTTTGGGGTTTTGGGGTTTTGGGGTTTTGGGGTTTTGGGG